TTATTAATGTTTTTTTAAATATGATTTTTTTAAATTATATTAATTATTTTACTAATTATTATGTTTTTATTAGTTTTATATATACCGACATTAATTTTATAAAGTATTTCTGAGCCGTTTTTATCCATTTCTAAATAGAAAATTTTTCGTTAATAATTAATATACAGAATTGTACCTACTAATTATTCTGAATATTATATTTTTTATAAATTATTAAAATACAATGATTTTATTTGCCATTTTTATTAATTTTTTGATTTAACAAGTACATCTTATTAATTATTGTATGAAAAAAAGTAACTGATTTTAAGCTAAGTTAAGTTGAAACTAAACTTAACTTACATTGTTAAGAAAAATGAACATCCCAAATATTTTTATTTCCTAAAATTCGTAATAATTTAGAAATTTTAAAACCAACATTTAATAATATTTATAATTTGTAATGGACCAAATCAAATAGTTTAAGTTAGTTTTTAAGTATTTTATCTATTCTATATTTCCTTTACTACCTTGTTGTATTTGTTTTTTCTTTAATCATCAAACAATTTTTTTTTTTTTTCCGATCGCCAGCCCCACCACACAAAAATATTGATATCTGTTAAAGTATGGAGTTGCAAATTACCAAAATCGCTTTGCAAATAGTTGCAAATAAGTTGCAAAATATTGGCATAGATTTGGTGATGATCGGGTGAAGTTGGGGAGTCAACTTCACAGATATAACTTAACTTACATTGTTTCTATATTAACTTAACTTAACGAGTTTAAAAAAAATAGTTAACTTGTCCATAGCCTTGTATATTTAATAACAATTTACCTACTATAAATCATACCTATACTTTAAAAAAGTTTTTTTTCGGGACTTACTTTTTGTACAAATACTAAGGTAGGTAAATCGTTACAAATGTTTAAACAAATTCAATCATAAATGTCGTTCTTTGTCTGTCTGCTGTCCTGTCATCTTACGGTGCGCAGGTAGGGTTGGCCCCCCCACACTAAAATGGAAATTGCGGGGCAGCGAGTGATTTGCAAATTCTGAAAATAAGTTTGCAAATTATTGCAAACTATTTGCAAAATATTGGCACCGGTCCGAAGTCGATCGGACGATGTGGGGGGGGGGGGCTGCGTGAAGTTGGCCCCCCCAATTTGGAAACGATTCCCACAGCATAAGTTGATGTTTGCAAATTCTGAAAATAGATTTGCAAATTATTGCAAACTATTTGCAAAATATTGGCACAGGTCCGAGATTGATCGGACAATGTTGGGGGTCCAACTTCACTGACATCGTTTGACGTATAAATATATCATAATTAAAATAATCTAGCGCGGAACAGTGATTTTCCATTCCTTTTGTTTTACGTGTGAGATAACTGAGAAAACATGATCTTTGGGATGGTCCATCTATATATATTTTATTTTTGCAAGTGTCTGCATCAAAATTACAATTAAGCAGTAGACGACATACCCAAATTTGGAGTTTACCCATTGTTAGTTATTGGGAAATTATATAGAAATTAGAAAGACCCGAGAAGGCAGTAATACAGTGGCGGCGTCAGGAATTTTATCTAGGAGAGGCCCATTGATCGCCTTTGAAAATTTGTTATTGCCAAAAAAAGTCCCAATCCGTGGTATTTTTCCCATTCATAGGCTCAGCATAGGGTAGGTGGCTTATACACTATTGTAAAGATTGTGTTGCATATACTAAGTTTTCTCATAATTATTGATTTTCATTTTAATTGATAATAAATATCATAGGTGTAGGTATAGCAGGTAGGTATAGGCATATTATTTAATATTTACACGCTTAAACATAAGATATCATTTTCAACAAACTTACATTAAAAATGTGTACTTTATTATAAATTTAAAGATTTTTTTTCTCTTGAGGTTAGGCGGCCAAGGGGGCCCAAGGGGTGGCCAAGGCAAATTTAGGGGGCCGTGGCCGGCCCAAGCCCCCCTGTCGCCGCCATTGCAGTTATAAACATTTGTCAGTTAAAGATAATAAGAAGCCGAATTTTCATCACTAAAACAGTTATTTATTGACAATGGTATTGTGTAAAGCAAATATCTCTTTTTGTTTTTTGATGTTAGTAAAACAAATGTCGACATTCAAAATTGAAAAACTAATAACAATATAAAATTAACTATTTTTGTTATGTTACAAAAAAAAAACAACAATAATGCTCAGTCAAATAGTTTTTTCCCTATTTTTTTTTGCAACAATTTGCTTAACCTTAAAGCTCGAGTTATTCTTGTCCGCGGGAAACTTCAACAAATTACAAAGAATTTCCGATAGTAGATATTACTACTGTCTCCTGTTTTTTGTTTTTTTTTTTAACGAAAATGACTGAAGGAACTACCTGTCACTTGCCGTTCATCGCGATTATCGCTGTCGCACATACTATTTCGGCCATATCGAAAAATATTTTTATTATGTCTGAGCAGTACACATCTAATAGGTATACCATACTATCAATACTGTAACGGTGTTCCGCACCATTACAGTTTTCTTAATTTTATAATTATAATATTACTTATAGTATTATATACTATACATATACCACAGACGTGCGTGTAATCTTTCATTCGTTCTGTAATATCACGGAGCAAAGCTATATATAGGCATAACTATTTTCTATGGTAGGCAAAATTTATAATAATCGTTCGGCCTGCTAGACATAGTACGTCAGCCGAACTAGTCTCGTTTCACTACTGGCTCCGTGTATTGTTGCCACCAGGTCATCGGTAAAGTAAAATAATTTATATTACATTTTGTTGTATTTTAAGTATAGGTACGTTAAATTGTACTCGGTATTATAACTAATTGTCTTGTCGAACATTGAAATCCTCTGACATTTCCCCGTTTGATACAGATCTAGGTATCACTACGGATACACAATTACACACCGTTTACTAGCAGTGATAGACAATAATTTAATTGTTACTTCTTAACATGTATCATGATGGTGGGGCCTCCTGGCCATACTGAATTTGTTTACGAATAATTTCTATCTGTGTCCAAACACCCGAAAAACGTTTGTTCTTTATTTGAAAAAAAAACAATCGAATGTATTGAATTACCTGATATGTTATTATACTATGCATGCCACTGCGTAATCGCGTTGCCTCGGACTTGAAAATTAAATCAGTCTTACACAGTGCAACAGTTGCGAAGTCCGTAGCGACTATGATATGAGCAACAAGGTATGATCGGGACTTTTTGACGTTCAGATCCTCTGGTGGGCATTAGACGATTTGACGAAGCTTAGTGTTTAGTAAATGACTAATATTATGATAATATAAGTAAGCAAGTGACGTGTTGCGTGGACTTTAATCAAATCCAGACTTTTACTATATTGTTAGTATCATGGTCGTGGAAATTCGGTATCGGCGGTTTTCGTCTGTTTCAAAGAGCACGTCAAGGAGTCGCCATCTGTCGGCGATTCGTCGAAAAGCTATCTGAACGTTTCCGACGGCAGATCCCGCGTTGGTTATGTGTCCGGGGGAGATCTGTCGCCAAAACCGGTAAACAAAACTTAAGATTCTGTTACTTATTATTATTATTAGGTCTCTATAATTATTAATATCATCACCAGAGAAAAATGCGTCTGATAGGTACAGGTCTTGTAAAAAATAGTAACATAGTTTTAATTGTTTAGTATAATATTTAACAAACATTTGCACTTGCATGATTTAAAATTTTTTTTTTACAACCATAGTTTAATTTACTTAAGCTGACAACTTAAATAATTGCTTGTGATTATCGGAGCTTCTGTAAGCAATAGACAAATTAGTGTACAAATTACTGGGCGATAAACTCAAATGTTCAAAGACTATTAAAAAAATTTCACCAAATAATGTGTGGAAATGAACTGAAAGTTACCAGTTAAAAATAAAAATAAAAATATTAGCCTATATAAATAACCTAACCTAACCTACAATTAAGCATATTAAGATATAAAGAATTTTAAAACATGGAAATGCACACGGTTTTAATTAATTTAGCAAAACAAAATAAATAAAAACAAGGCTGATATAAGTAAATATACACATATACGTATATTAATATAGGTAGGTATACATGGAAATCGATCAAATAACAGTAACATAAATCAAGAACAAATATCGTCAAACGGACCATACAGTTTCGTATACTATATTTCTTAACATTTTAAGAGTCGTGAAATTTATTTTTGACTCTCAAAATTACGTTGCTTGTGGAATTTAAAACAGAAAATAAAAAATAAATTAATATTGCACTCTGACAAGTGCTCCTAAATGTCAGATTTACGATTGTTAGTACAATACCGTACAATAGTATTAAACATTATCAGTGTCTTCGATATCCGCTGATGCTTTCTTAGCTTTAAAACAGCCTATGCACAGATTATGGGTGTTATCACTGTCATTATAAGGTCGTTTACCCAGCACTGATTCAGCGTTTTTCTTAGATAATTCAAGTTCTTCAGGAGACAACTTTGGCATTAACACAGAGCTGCAATAAAAAAAAATTAATTGACGAATGAATAAATAAACAAAAATTATTTTACATACTTTCTCAAAAAATCCACAAATCTAGGGGCATATTTATCGGGAGGTTGTACAGAAATATCTGAACCTTGTACAATGGTTTTCACTCCATACTCTATAAATTTTATTATTCGAAAATCTTGTAGTACGTCAATAATTCCAACAAATAGAAACAGTTTTTCACCTTTTTCATTTTCAGCAGGTATACTACCTCTTAAAAAAGGACAAGACTTTTCATACTCAAAATTGGCAGTGTCTGCATGAATATCTTCTATTTCTATTGAATCATTCATCAAACGCGTCCACCTGGCTTCAGCTGCCAGTGAAATAGTAGAATCTGGTGTAGTATCTTGAGTGATGTTATAAATGCCCAATAACATACTGTAATCCATTATATTATTCCTTTGTAGAAAATTAGCATCTTTTTCTATAATTCTGAGAACATCTGAGAGAGTATTTTTCATCAAATACAAATTACCAGCCATTTTTTGTCTAAAGTCGTTATCTTTATATGTAGGTGATTTTTGTTTTCGTTCCTCAGGGGTAGCTGTTCTTCTGTATGATGAACCTTTCAGGTCATACTTAAGGTGCATTTGTATGTTACGAGGTAGTAAATTGTTCATAGATATAAATTGCATTCGATTTAAACCACTGACAAAACCATAAAAACCGAAAAATTTCGGCAACAAAGATCCCGGATTTTTCTTTAAATGTGTCATGTAAAAAGGAAGTATTTCTCGAAAAAAATCACCTTCGCTGTCCTTTAAAGATTTTAAGATAAATTTACCATTCATTGTGATGAACATTTTTGATCCACTTGCACCCGGGTTGGTCATTTCACGAAGTGGAAATGCACAAAACGATGTAAGATAATCCTGTGTATTAATGCCGAATAATAATCTGAAATGACGGAATACATATGGAGCGTATTCTACAAAATGAAATTCTTTATGATGGCGAGCTGGAGATTTATTAGAATCAAACCAACTTTTAAACTCAGTGTCTGTAACGCTCATAAAATCGCTATGACACAATGGACGAGAGACATCTGAAGAAACGGATATTTTTGCTTCTCTTATTCCGTCTTGTAAGGATTCTACAAATTCAGTAGTTTCATGTATTTCGATGAATTTTTCTTTAATTTTAATATCCTCTAGCTTAGAATTAAGATCATTCTCATTGTTTGTAGTTTTCGAAACTCCTTCAGCAACATCACTTTCACCATTTCCTTAAAAATGTTAAAATAAAATCAGCATGAGAGAAATCCATTGAAAAAATAACATCTAATAAATTAAGCATACGTCATATTGAAGGCACATGATATGGGTTATACAGATTACAGATTACAATAAGTTAATAATTTATTCAAAACATTACACTAGCACTGGGCACCTTAAATGTACATTTTATATCACATAATATTTAAGACATTAGAATTTATAATATTAGATGATTGATTATTTGAACGAAATAATTTCTTGTATCTATAGCAAGGCCGGGCAAGCTCACGATAATTTTTTTTTAACTCATTTAAGTTAAGTATTTGTTTTCAATTCAATTAAAAATTCAGTTGACAATTAGAATTAACTTAACTTCAATTAAAAAGTAAGTTAGTTAAAAATTAAAAATTCACTTGGAAGGTATGAAAGTAAGTTATGTTGGACGAGTATTGTTTTTTAATTTCGTGTCAAGTCGCGGAGAGTATAAAATTCTAGTACTCGACAAATGCCGAGTACCTATTAAAAAAGTCGAGCACTTAACAAATTCCAATAGAATTTGAGTTCTTTCAGACTTCAGTTGTTTATAGTTTTAACATTTATTTTTCAATAATAAACTATTTATTGTTTTTAAAATAATAAATAGTGAAACGATTACTCGATTTAAGTCAAGTACTTGATTCAAGATGAGTACTCGATTTAAGTCGAATACTTATAACTTGTATTTACAATTACAAAATTAATTTTAGTCAAGTCGAGTACTAGACCAGCACTAAAAATAGCTGGTAACCATTCGGTATAGTTATATACCTATGAACATATTTACACGCGACCATAATTATGTATGTAATTTAGAAACCTGTAGGATTGAATCATTTTAAATTTCTGTTGATATTTAATTCTGGATTCATTTAAATTTCTAAATGTGCTTACTGTATTGTTTAACTTTTAACATATATAACTAAAAAAAAAAATTTTTGATGATTACAAATTATAAAAAAATTACTATATCTCTACTAATGTTGAAAATTATATACGAGTACATAGAGATATACGATTTGTTAGCAATCTGTTTGCTACTAGGTTAATTAGAATATCTATTAAATTTAAAAACAGCTTAAACTGTTGGAACTATGAATGTATAAATTTATAAAAATCGCCAATATATAAGTAAGTAGGTATTTTTTTAATAAAATTATATTGTAAAATATAAAATAAAAAAATCGAAATGGTCACAATTCATGATAATCGTAAATACAAATTGCATTAAATATTAATAATAATAAATAATTAGTAATACCTAATGAATATTTATACGTAGGTATAATATGAATTGTGGTTTTAAGGACTTTATTTATCAATTTTTTTATTCGGGTGACTAATGTTACATTGTTACCCCTAAATCATTATTAAATAGTGCCTTATTAATATGATGTATACGTTTTTGTTTATTTTTTGCTAGGAGTATTTTTTATAATTTAAAAAATTATAATTTGTTTAAATACTATTTTTCTGGATAATATGAAAATTAAGAATTAACTTAAATTGTTAATTTAAAAAATAATAGAAGTTGTTTTTAAGTTAACTTGGGTACAAATGAGATAAGTTAAAATTAAGAGAGTTAGTAAGTTATGTTTATAAGTTACAAATATCTTAAACTTAAACTTAACATTTAACTTATCAACCCATTCATGCCTAGCCTTGGTCTATAGTATCATAATACAAACGACATACCGCCTTCCGTTTTAGCTTCAAGTATATAATTACATGTTACGGTTAAAATTATTATGATATTATACACTAAGAAAATTGTAAGACTTTTGGAAAATTTAGACTTATTAATCATCATTTTCAGATTTGAAAATACAATTTTAAACGCAGTTACTTTTAGGTACACCGTACGCAAACGAATTAAGTTATTTTACAGTCAGGTTAACAATATATATAGGTTGAATGTTGATGAAATATAATATTGAAGCCATGCCCAACATGATGTATAAACATGTAAGAACCAATCGGTGTTACACAACTGAATAAACTTTTAAAATTGTTCGTGTGTCATAAGTAACTAACAATATTAAATATGATACACAGCGTTTTAACAATATAGTTACACTATTAGCATTAAAAATGTTCATATTTATGATACCGAACATAAAGGCAAAAACGCTGCAGTAGCCATTGACTTACTGCTGCAACTTTTCTGCAATTATTATCATCAGTGATAAAATACACACAAAATGTATGTGGATTGTGGGTACACTAATCCTTCGAACACCATTCTTTTTTTCTTCATATTCTTTCGATACCACGACTTTTCACAACATTAGCAAATTACTTTTAGTTAGAAGAACAAAACATTTTTGTAAGAAGTGTAACCTCTTCAGCCGCGGTAGGGTAAGTCAGATTCATTGGCTCAGCCGCGAGCCGTGCAGCTTGTGCAGCTATTACTCGACACAAACGGTCCAATCAGATGATCTGGTTTTTCCAGCTGATCACTGTGTTTCTCTTAGAATATGGCAGAGCCGGTGGACTGGACGAACTGGCCTTGGGAATCTGCAGTGGCGTAAATACAGTTTTTGTTAGACTAGGGCGACCACTCACGAATTTTCGGTCTCAACATTTTTTTCACTCAGATCCACATTGCATAGTATCATAGTTCTTTTTATAGGGGAATATTCAGGTATTTACGAACGTCATACCACTGTTTTTTTGGTGTTATTAAAATTCATTACATGCCTCTATGGTCAAAAATAACTAAGAATAGAGATGAAACTTAGTTATTTTTTTATTTTTATTGAGATATACATATATAACACGGCAGCAAAGGCTATTAGTTAATTTCTTAAATGCTAATTACAGTTTTTACAATTTTTGTGAATTTTACATTATCTTAGCAGTTACAATTACAATTATATTTTATTAATAAGGTTAGTTAGTTTTAAGGTTATAATTTTCACATTTTGATCGGGGTTTGGTCCGAGAATTTCATCTAATGTTTCCGTTCAGTTGAGATTTGTACCCTCATGTTAGTACATATGACATTCTGTAATGATGTGTTTGACTGTGGTCTGTGTATTGCTAGTTTCGCTGATGGGGGGTTCATCGATTGACATAAGGAACCCGTGAGTTATCCTGAGGTCTCCGATTCTTAGGCGATTTATAGTTGTTTCGATTGTTATGTCACTTGGGTTTGTTTTGTTTTTAATACTGTTTATGGCACTTAAAGGGTCACCGAAGATTAAGAAATTAGTGTGTTCTGATGTGTTTATTTTTTGGATGGCTTTTAAGATTGCTATTGCTTCAGCAAAAAATATTGAACACTCATTTGGGAGTCGATATGTTATATCGAAGTTGCGTTTTCAAATATGATTGCAAAGCCAACTCCTTCATTTGATTTGGAGGCATCCGTGAATATTTTTTGGTGTTCCTTGAAGTTATCCAGGATGTCATGGAAGTGGCTTTTGAATATCTCGGGGGCTAAGTTCTGTTTTGATAGTGTGTTCAGTTCGGTGTTAATTTCATACTTGTTTTCCCAAGGGGGGGGGGGGAGTTGGTAGTGTGGGGTTCGCGAGGGATAATTCTGACTGGAGAGCTTGCATTTTTATTGATAAATTTAGTGATTTCGTTTTTTGTATTGCATTGTTTGTTCCCGTGGCATCTAGCCAGTCTCCCGATGTATATTGGAAGTAATTCTAGTCTTCTCAGGGTCGGGGTGGGCTCTCCGGCTATATATAGATGCTGAGTGTTGGGCTGCTCCGGTAGGCACCAAGAGCGAGTCTTAGTCCGCTATTGTTGACTGTGTCGATCAAGTTTAGGGTTGATTTGGCTGCTGTTCTATATAGTATGGCCTCGTAGTTGAGTTTGGATTGGATGGTTGAATTATATATTTTTATAAATGATTTGGAATTTCCTCCCATGAAGTGTTTGATAGTATTTTAATTATATTTAAGGAGCTGGTTGTGCATTTTTAAGGTGTTTTATGTAAGGTAACCAAGTTAGACGTTCATCGAAAAAAACTCCTTGCATTTTGGTAGTGTTTCGATTGGGAATTACCGGTGCTGTTTAATTTAATTTCAAGTTCTTTGACTTTTTTCTTTTTTGTGAATATTGAGCTAATAAACTTTTCATGGGAGACATTGAAACCGGTTTTATTAGCCCATTTTTCTATGTTGTTGGTTGTGATTTGTAAACATTTTTTGACGGTTTCTATGTTGCGGCTCCTGCACCAGTAATTGAAGTCGTCAGCATACATGTTACATGTTACTGGAAGGTTGCAGTTTTGTGCGATGTCGTTAATTGCTATGAGAAAGAGTGTTACTGATAAAACTGAGCCTTGTGGGACTCCGTTTTTTTAAGTGAACTCGCGCAATAAGTGATTATTGCATTTTACTTGGAATTTGCGATTTGATGTAAAGTTAGTTATTATATTTAGGAGTCTGCCTTGGCATAGGATCGAATTTAGTTTAATTATTATATTGTGTCTACAAGTGGTGTCGAATGCTTTGGCTATATCTAGGTTGATTACCCCCATGAGTTGCTTTTTCGCAAAAGTTTGTTGAATTTCTTCATTCATTTCGAATGGGTTATTCATGATGCATCTATTTCTAATGAACCCATTTTGTTTTGGGGAGAGGAAATAATTTTTTTCCATGAACCATGAGAGTCCGTTGTTTAGTATTTTTTCGAATAATTTGCACATAGTATTTACCAACGTTATTGGTCTGTAGCCTTCTGGTTTGAATCTGTTTTTTCGGGGTTTGGGGATTGTTATTATGATCCCAATTTTCCATTTTTTTGGCCAGATTCCCTCCTTCCATATTCGATTGTATATTTTGAGCAGGAAATCGAGTGTTTTTATACTACAATTTTGGATAAAGGAATAAGGGAGAAAGTCTGGACCGGGGCTGTTCCTTTTGCATTTTTTCAGAGTGTGTATAAGTTCGTGGAGTTTGATTTCCTCGTTGATTTGTTTTTGATCTAGGAGGTTTTTGTCAACAGTATTAATTATATTTACTTCCTCACATTTTTGTTTGTGGAATAAGAAATTAGGGTTGTAATTGTTGTCACTGCTGTTGATATAAAAATATTGGCTGAGGTCGTTAGCTATCTGGTCAATGCTGTTCACTAATTGGTTGAATTTATGTCCAATAGGTTGATTTTCTGATTGCGACGTAGTCCTTTTAAAGATTGAATTTTGTTCCAAACTGATTTGATGTCAGTTTTTTCGTTTATACTGCTGGTGAATTTTTCTCAAGATGTTTTTTTACTAGTTTTTATCAGTTATTCGGATCTAGCTCTTAATTGTTTTAGTTGTATGAAATCTTCTTGTTTGTTGTTTTTTTAAATTTCTTAAGTGCATTTGTCTTTAATTGCTTTTTTGATGTCGTTGTTCCACCAAGGAGGGGTTTTTTTTATTTGGGTTTTCCTATAGTTGGTTGGCTACTGAGATTATTGTTTCAGTAAATTCATCAACCAAGTGTTCTGTGTTTTGAAATTTGGATTCGTTTATGTTAAATACTTTGTCTTCTAGTAATTCAGAGAAAAATTTCCAGTCTGGGTTTTTCAGATTCCATCTCTCGAGGTTGGGGATGCTATTATTATAACGGGGAACAAGTTGTATTACTATTGGAAAATGGTCGCTGCTAGTAATATTGTTTCAGAAGTTTCACAAGTTGAGCCTTTGTGCGAGGGATGCATTTGCAAATGACAGGTCAATATTTGATGAGGCCGTTAATTGAATTTATACGCTTTGGTTCCATGCTGTTAAGTTGTACCAGATTATCGTTTTCTAGGATTCTATCGATTTCTTTTCCTCTATTATCGGTATTTAAGGAGCCCCATTTAATGTTGTGACTGTTGAAATCAACTGTTATAATGAAAGGCTTGGGAAGTTATTTTGTTATATTTTCTGGGTCTTTATCTGTAAAAGTGTGTTGGTTGGGTAGACATATTATGTTGCATACGTTTACTTCGACATTCTTGAGTTTTACTGCTACTGCTATTACGTCAAGATGTGTTGAGATATAGATTTCTTCCGATGGGTGTAAGGAACTGACATATGTTGTTACTCTGCCACTAGTCTTAAGTCGGGTGGATCTGTGTTTGCTAAAATCACTGTAGTTGAATAGTTTTGCGGCATTTAGATTTGTGAAGTTGGTTTCTTGGAGACAGATTATTTCGGGTGAGATTTCGGATATTAGTATTTTTAGTTTGTCTACCGTTTTGTAGAAACTATTTATATTTCACTGTAGTATTTTCATTTATCTTAATTTATTACTGATTGATGGGAATATAGGATATGAATAAGATTTTTTTTTTAAATTATTGCTCCTTGGTCGGATCATTACCTAGAGTTATATCGAATAGGGAGTTGGAGAATATGGTTAGCCTGTTTTTGATGCTTAGATTCTTAACCTTAGAAAGGAAATTTTCTGGATTCGAATCCAGAATTTCGATCATTTCCATCGCAGATGTGTTGAACTATTTTAGGAATTTATAGGGGTCCTGGACGCTGGGTGTATTTTCTATAATGTATTTGAGTTGAGTGAAATTTATTTTAAGATTTGGTATTTTTCGAAATTTGTTTTGGCGGGGTCTAGCGATTCGTCAATTTTTATAACGATTTGTTCGATGGAGTTTGACCGTCTAGGTTTTTTAGTAAGTAGCTGTGTTTATTTCAAAACTTTTGAGGTGGTCACATTATTTGATATGGGTGTATGATGACTTCAGCGTATCTGATTTGGGTCCCGAATTCTATGGGCTAATCGCAGGTATTGTACTAGTTGGGTCCCGGATTTTAAAAGGTGCTATACTAATTGGGTCCCGAATTATTATAGTTCCTGAATATTTGTTGGTAAGTACTACACTATACTAATATTTTCATTCCCATTTTAACAGACTGTCTATGATCTATTTGGACCACAGCCCA